GAGGCTCTAATGGCACTGCTACATACATCATTTTCTCTGGATCTACTTTTCAGATAAAATTAGAAAAATCAATACATGAATGATTAATCAATGCATGGATGGCACTGAAATACAAAAAAAAAATAGAAGTACATATGTGAATAACAAGTGATTGGTGGGACTTTGTTTATAATGTACCTAATACAGTGAAATTAATTTGCATTTAAAATACCTGCTTAAGTTTATCCATTAATGTAAGTTTTAAGTCTAAATCTAATTCTTATTACCATTCTTTGCTTGCGAAGGAATCCAAAGCAACCACTTAGCTAAAATGCTAAATTATCTTCAAGTTTTCCCATTCTTATACTTTTTAGAAGAATTTCAACAAACTCAAGAACAAGACAGGCTTCTGAATGCTTCCATATGATAATATTTACAAATTACAAACACATCTTTCACTTTTAAAGGCATATTTCTAAATCCTCACTGTCCTACAAACTGTAAAGATGCATCAATGCAATCTATAGAAGCATAAACTTACATTATGTATAAAACCTGCAATACAGCTCGGGCATCAGGAAAATGTTTCTAACCAAGGTAGTGAACGACTTCAAAGGAATTATGTTGCTTGCGAAGATTACAGAACCCACAACGATGGAGGAGTTGAAGAGGGCAGACAAATACATGTGAAAAGTGAACATCAGCTGATCCTGCCTTACTCCTTCCCAACCTCTTTCATGAATACCAACTGTTGCACTGGAATTGGGCAATTTTTGAATTTTAATTTGGAGAGCTTGAGATGCAGAAGTAAAATTAGTGAGAAAACAGAGTCTTAACAGAAAAGTATACAAGAAAAAAAATTCAATACAAAAAGTAAGAAATTTTACACATATCAGATGTATGTACACAATATATTTAAGTGAATCATTAAAAGGAATGAACTTACTTCTCTAGTGTTCAACACTGCAGTTATGTACAGCAATGCAAATTTCCATGAGTTATACAAAAACAATCATCTTAAGTTAAAAGGGATTATTAAAATATATATAAAAGCAGCTTAATTAAAATATATCTTATATATGTACACACACACACACACTTACTCATTTGCTACAGACCTGCTGAAATAATTTGGTCAGTCTGTCAGCAGCAAAAAGGCAGAGCACTCTGGTCTGAGCATCCTGCAGCTAAGCAACAGAAGGCAGCAGAGCTAGAAGCCCACAGGTATGTGGGGTATGAAGCACATCCTTCAATCCAGACCAGCCATAACAGCTCTTGTCTATGCGCCAGAGAGGAGACCAAAGACGGCGGTAAAACTGAGGCCTCTAATGGCCCACATATTATTTTGAGCTGCATACCTCAGCTCTGTTCATTAGCACCACTGAAAACTTTAAGTATGGGAATGAAGAAAGCTCTGTAATCAGCAAAAGCTACTTATAGGACCAGGTCCCCTGCTTACATCTGAAGCAAAATGTGCTGAGCACACAGTGCTTTCTGCTGCATGTACAGGTTTGTTGAGAACAGAATATGAGGTCATAACATTATGGTTAAGTGCTCTTTAAACTGTCATCAAAAGCTGAGGGTCATTTCCTCACTAAGCCTCTAAAATGATGAATTCTGTATTTATTGTCAAAGAGCAGTGCAATCACCAGCATGAAATACATATTTAGCCTCAAGCAGCTGTTAAGTGAGCGTTACTTATCCACACAGATGAGGATTGATACTCTTAATGAGAAAATGCTGGGGTAATGTTCCTTAAAACATAGTCATTCTATATAAAGTAGATATATTTCTTAATAGCAATAACATATAAAACCACATTCAAAATGTTCTCATAGCATGATTCAAAACAGAATACACAAAATTATCATTTTAACTCTCCAGAGACGAACACATCACAGAGAGCTGATACGTGCTATACTGTGTAAAGCTGAAATCTACTGCAAGATAAAAGATTTTGTATAGCAAAACACAAACTTTTCCGCTCTATTTCATAAATTACTTAAAAACATCAAAGACCAACTCCATTTGAACATATCTAGGAATAGCTGCCATCAACACAGGAAATCAGTCACAGACCTACTAATGTCTCTGGGTTTTAAGGTCTTCTAAATGAACAATCAACAGAAAATTTTCATTTTTACTCCTTTGTGCTCATCTGTTTAAAATACTAATCTTTTATTACCAAGTTTTTAACTCACTTCACTGGAAAAAATGAATTAAAAAAATATTTGGAAAACACTCCATGTAATGGGTCCTAACAACAACTGATGAAAAAAATTATTTAACAGTTATATTTTCTTTTAAAATCCCATAACTTTCTAACATACCTTAAAAACAACAGAAAAAAGTACACCTGAGAAGAACAGAGAGAAGCCATTTGTCCCCAAACAAGGACATAAATTTCTCACAGACCAGCTAAATCTGAACTACTAATTTGAATAAAGAATATGGGATCAGGATCTACTTTGAAGTTTGTTGCCATCAATTTTAGATGTGGGATTTATTTCTGCTCAATGGAGGATATTGTGTATCTCTGTTTGTAAAGAAAGTGTATGTAAAAATACACAAAACAATTCAAAAAACAAGAGGCAAAACCCATCCTACCTTCATATTCAGCAAGGCACACACACTCATAGCCATTGACAAGGTCTCTGCAGGTGGCTCCATTCTGGCAGGGTGCAGAAAGGCATTCGTTATATTCCTCCTCACAGTAAAGGCCGTGGTAACCTAAAACACACAAAAAGGAAATAAAACAAGCTATGAAACTCTTCCCAGTAAAAATTAATAATTAAGTAACTATAGATTGTGGGCAGATGCTTGCTAATTGAAATATACTGTGCAGACACGTACATGTTAAGACATTGATTTTAAGGACATCTGCTACCCAGTTGAAATTGCAAAAAAAATCCTGGAAGCCTAGTGTTCAGAGTCCCAGCCACTGATCCTGCCATAAACCACAGTGAGACCATAAACATGGGGGCTGGTGACGAAGCCCACTATGAGCAATGCAAATAGCCACACTCTGATTGCAAAAATTAATAAATTAATATTGACATATCTCCTAGCTTTTTCAGAGCCTTGCATCAAAGCTAACTTTCATCAAAGTGGTAATAACTGTATAACAGTAGTTAGAATGATAATGTATTTTAACTTTAATGCTGTACAATGTCAAAACACTGTAGAAGCATTAAGGTACTTAATTTTTTATGGCATTCCCAAGCCATAGGCAGGTATTATGGTCTGATTATGCAGACAAAGAAAGTAGGAGCACAGAAAAGCTATGAGACCTGCTAATGGCCACCGAGTCATTTGTATTATGAGGTAAGAAATAAGGAGTTAATGCACTTAAATAGCACTTCTTTCATCAGTTAGTGTGTCATACGATCATCAGACTTAATAGCAGCTGAAATTACTTTCTAGATGTAGTGTGTCAGGTAAAAGTAGTACCAACTCATATTAAGTAACAGCATAAATTATTTTAATGTAACAGTGGAAATAAACTAGCTGTAATGCTAAAATATGTTTGCCTGATTGTATTGGTTACTTCATATTAAATATGAGGAATCATAAGCCTAGTCATTTTGAAGGCTATTATATTTGATATCATGAAGCTTATTTAATTCCTCTTCAATAGAGCTTATGTTTTTGTTAATGAAAGCTTCCTCTCATTTCTTTTCACTTAAAAAATTTTCTTTGTTTTTTTTTTTTCTTTTTTAATAAGGTAGGGACTTTCCAACTCTGGAAAGAATGCCTAAATTTATAGGCTACTAATATATCAACAAGAAAAAATAGAAAATAGATTGTTCATAATGATAAGTAAGTACAAATAATGCATTTAAATACACCATAAGCACTGTTTTCTCCCTGACAGTCAAGCATTAGCACAAAAGAATTGTAAAACTGCTACTGTTTGACTAATGAGAAAAGTATGAGGCAATTTGCTCAATTCTTTTTAAATAGTTTCCCCGTTCCCTGAGGGCACAGTGAATGCTTCATAATTAGCCAAATTACCTTCAGGGGAAGGTTCAGAATTAAATATATTAAACAAAATAGGTTCTTAACTTTTTGAAAGTACTAATTCAAATAGTACAAATATTTCTACTAAAACATGCATCTTTCATAATGTTTACCCCCTTCCTGGAAATTACAGCAAATATTTGAATGACCAGACTTTGCATTTTCTACATCTCTTCTCTATTAGCTACATGCTGCTAATAACTGCAAGTCAGAGCATCTGACTTGGGGCATCACACAGCCTACCTCCTTCTCAAGCAAACCAAAGCCCACGCACTTAACATCAACTGAATTGACTTGATAATTAACACAAATCAGTGCTTTGGATGTTTTAGTAAATGGTTTGGCTTCATGAAACCATCACACCATCTCTTCTTTATCCCTCCACGAAAAGGTGGGGATAGACATTCTAGCCCATGCTATTGTCCACAGAGTCACACCAGAGACTCAGTGGTTACTGCACAGTCTTTTTCCTGTTGGCTTGTTCTTTTATAATATTTGGCTGGCACTGAAAACAATGTAGACTGGGAAATTATTTATTTGTTTTAAACAAAATCTTGCTTCTATTTGCCAACTTTTCTCAATATTCATTCTGAAATGAATGTGTAATATATACACATTAAAAAAGCAGCTTCAAATATGTTTCAATACTAAAAACATTCATAAAGAACAGTCAGACTGAGAAGATATGTTATGGTATGTAACAGTACATAAGGATACTCTTCACGCACCCCTACCATGGATTAATTTTGGTTAAATAAGTCAAATATTTAGCCTTCTTGACTCATCATAGCTGATACTTCTCTCGATCTCCTATTACTGTGATATAATACCACGAATATGTATATGTAATCTATAATACAAGACCATGCATTTGAACAGTGCTTTTTAAAATATTGATTTACTCATTACATATAGCTGGAAAAGCAATACATGAATGAGTATGTAAGATGCCATGGGCATGAATAAAGATGCCATGGAAAAGGCCTAAAATACAAAGTGTAGATTCTACAGTGTGATTTTATTTCTTCAGATAATCGCTAGTTAGCAGCAAAACTTACAGACATGGAATGAGGGTATCTTTCATGAACAAAGAACCAGAGAGGGGCAGGGTCACACCTTAGCAAGTGGCAATCTATATTGTAAATTTTCCCCAAAATTCTCATAGAACAATAGAAAATATGACAAATGCCACCCCCACATACCATTTCCATCCCCTCTCCCTCTTACGGATAATTAAAAATAAAACTGTATGAAGATACAACAGATGTTAGTATCACACAAAATGCAACAATATTATCCATTTGATTTTGCACAACATTGTCTTTTCACAGTAAATAGGCTAGTAGCTTATTAAGAAACCTTTCAGAACCACTTTCTCCAAAGCTGTTAGCCAGGCAATAAAGAATTACTTTAACTAAATATTATGAGTTTTTATTAGCCTATGGTCCCTTTATGATAAAAGGAAATATCCTTATGTTGTGACATCTGTAGCCAACAAACAAACCTCCAGAATCAGAAAACTTTAAAGAAAATCATGTGGGAATTCTGTGTTGAACACAGATGTAATTAGATATTTTGAGGGGGGTGGGGAAGGTTTTCCCCGTGTTACACACTTCCCACCTTTCAAGGGGAGCAGATGGAAATTTGGGACTCAATACTGGTTTCAAAAATCAATACGAACTACCATATCACCTCCTGAGGACTAAGACAGCTCACACTGTCAGACACTGCACACAGGGAGGGAAAAGATATTTTCTCTCTCCATGAGAGGGCAGATCTCACCCACGCAGGATTTCCCCCTCCTTGTCCTCACTCTGGTGGCAGCACCTTCATTCTGCTGGAACTGAGAAAGTTCTGCTGTGGGACCAGGCATCTGAGGGAAAGGTGTGTTTCTCATAGAGCTAAGAGGCACCATATAATTCTTAACAAGTGTTTCTCGTTGTATTACTGCTGTTAAATTATACTGAATTCATACAAAAGATGTATTATACTGAATTCATACATATACCCTCAAAAAGACTACATAAATAATTTTTCTGTTTTCATTAAAGAATTTAGATGGAAACAAGTGAATTCTTCATAGATAACTTCAGAGTAACAGACTCCAGTATAGTTTCTTCCTCTCTTTCTAGTTACATTATGATTCTGCTGCCTTTATGTTCACAAGCAATGCCAAATACAGCTTTTTGCATCTTTTGTGCCATATAACATTTTTGTGGACGTATTCAGAAAGTGAAAAACAATACTTGCATTAACAACACTTTTCCAGCTGCTGTGTCCTGAGCAGAGGAAAAAAAACACACTGAGCATTGCAGCTTCAAAAAGGGCAACTGGCAACTAATATTACTAAACATTTTTTTTCCAGGTCACTGGAAATTGGGTATGCCTTCAACAACAGCACCTTCATGAACTCAAGCAGAATGTGCCAGTGATGTTCCCATTCTGATGTGTTCTCTACAGAGGCTGGGGAACGGACAGGGAACCTAAAACCACTCTAAAATAAAGATGTTCCTACATTGCCTTTTCTCTCTCTACATGACTGTCCTTCTGCTACTAGTCATTACAAAGGCAGGAACAGATCTGTTGCCACTCGCCTCTGGATTCCCAAATCTTTATTCCCCTTTCTTGAGCAACAGGAAGGCTGCTTTGAAGAGGTCAGGATATTTGCCTGATGCTCTCTGGTATGATCTTCATACAGCTACATGCCGAGGTACACTTTCTTTGCACACGGTTATGCTAAAACCTGCAAAGGGAGAAAATCTGCAAGGGAACACAATCTGTGTCACACAGGCCGATAAGAAACAGCCATGGGTTTTGTCAAAGCCTACAAGAGCAGTTGACAGAGCAAAAGATACAGCAGTGCTCATCAATGTCTGGAGAATATGTTCACTATCAGTTTAACAAAAGAGAGAGGAAGAAGCTTACTATTAACGTTATAAATCAATAAAGAACAAAGTTGAAAGCTTTTGAGGCTTTCTTAGACACTAGCTTCTCCTCAACTGTGATCTCCTGTGCTTATCCACACATAACACTTCAGGAAATGAAGGCAGCAGGACAAAAATCCCATCTTTATGGGAAGGCTTAATGGGAGACAATGCAAGAGAGCTCTGTTTTGCAGGAAACAGCATCAGTTCACATATGGTCATTCACTAACAGTTTCTTCTATAAGTCAAGAAATAAATGAGTTCAGTTAAAGTCTGAGCTTATATAGCAATTAAATAAGAGAAAAAGAGAGAAAAGCTGCTCCAGATGGCAGGAAGGCATGCTTACCAGCTATGGCCAGATTGTGTGGAGGGTTGTCTTAATGTAGAAGTGGAAACAAGCTGAGGAAACAGAGGCAATAAAGGGCTCACAGACGGTCTGGAACTGGAGTTAACCTATAGTCACTTTGGCCAGAGCTTGCAGCATTTCTTGCTCCACTTCCGAAGTGGAAAAGGCAGAGAAAAGAAAAATTGCTACTGATACAGACAAATGTTACACTTGCCTCTGCAAAGGCACTGAGATAAAACAGCTCTCCTATACCCATTTATTAAGCTACATGAGCAAAATTAAGCTACATGAGGAAAAAACAAAGCACAGAGGAAACATATTCCATGGTATTACTTTCTGAGGTTGCCACCACTCTTCATACCCTTTGGAATTTTTTCTGACAGTTCTTTTTTTCTTTCCCCCCACTCCCTTCGCATGCTCTATATGTGTTATCATATATA